AAAGTTGATTAAAATTCAGTAATTAAAAAATAACAATTAAAAAACCTCCAAAAATTCTGCAGCACTAAAATTCTCTTGTTCTTTCAATTTCTCTACTACTTCATTGACATCTTTTACTTTTTTAGACATTCGACAGTTTTTTTGCCTACTTTTTCTTGCTGTCTGTCTCTTATGGTCTTGTATCGTAAAAAACGATTCCATGCTTCATCGGATACACAATCAGAACGGCTGAAGTATTTGGTTTCAAATCCATCCATGAACCTTATTTTCTTGACGTCAATTTCATCAGTATAGTCAGCAGTAAAACATTTTTTCTCATAAATGTAACAATAATTTTAATCCTAAATACTTATTTTAATGTTTTTATAAACGTATTATCAAATAAATTTACCTTTTCCTATTCTTGCAATTAACACCAACATCGGAAGATATCAATGGTGTACTGGAGTGTTCAGTTCTGAGAGATAGCATGTTCTTGTCATTAGCATCTAACCAGTTGGGTTCTTTCTCGCAAGTAGGAGTAATCAAAGCGGTATCATCACTATTTAAGACTGATGCTGCAGCGCTGCAGTCTCATTTAAATCTTTATTTGTTGTAATCGATACACAATCTCCAGAAGAACTAGTAGTGCTTGCTGATGTTAGTAAATTCTTATTTTCTTTGGTAACACCATTTGTTGCTATTGACAAACAAAATTCAGTGTAACTAGTGCTTGCTGATGTTGGTATATTTTCATTTTCTTTGGTTTCATCATTTTGCTGCTATTGACACATAATTTTCAGAGAAACTAGTGCTTGATGCTGTTGGTATATTTTCATTTTCTGTGGTTACATCTGTATTTTGTTGTGTAGTGGTTGGACTGATAGGGATTGCATCAGATAATAAACGTCTGAAGGAGGTGTATTCATATCTTTTGTGAAAAGCACTGTCTTCAAAGTGTTCGTTGTACACTGTTGCACTTTTTGTTACTGATGACAGACCAAGAGCTATTTTCCATTTTTCTTTTAGTGCACAATCATCAGGAAATCTACAAAAACATTTAAAATTAAAATAACAGTTGTGTATTGTTACATGCTTTGTTTTACAAATATGAACTGTTTATTTTTTTCTCATGTGTACAAATACCTAATACAACATATCATTTACATTACAAATTTTAATATGCATACATAAGAAAATTCACAGGATGCGATTGCAAT